CCGCGCTCGGTGGCCGCACCTGTCGTTGCTGCTCCTACTGTCGAGGCTAATGCCGCTGATGCTGATGCTGACGCTGAGCCTGAAGATGCCGAAAGCAGAGCAGTGGATGGTGATATCTTCTCTGATGCGGCCCTGCAGTGCAGCATCGAGAACAAGGATGCTTGCATCATGTGCCAGGGTTAAGTTTTCTTTGCCTTGAATGCTTTTGGATGTTTCCCTTTTGAGTTTTGTGCATAGTCATGCCTTCTGTCGTGGCTTCTCACGTGTACCCATATTATGATTTTGATGGACTTTTTTCCTTTGTTTGTGTGTTTCGGCGTGGGATCATGATATTTCCTGGATTTTCTCATTATTACTTCAATAACGTGTTGTTATTCATTCTTCCTTTGTAGACTTTCTAAGCCAAGTGTACTACGTAAATATTCGTGGTTGGACAGTACTGGTCTCATCCCTGAATATCCCAAGTCTTGGTATACACTCTGCCTTATATTACCCATCCCTAAACTTGCAGGTCGCATTGCCTTTCGACTGGTTAATTTTCCATACTAATGATGTGAACCCAACGCAAACCAAAATTCCTCGAAACTCGAACAAGCCACTAGCGCCAAACAGATCCGATATCCCCATCCGGGAATGCCAAAAAAAGAATTCGAGTCAACCAAATACTCGCCAGAGCCAGTCCTTTATCCACCGGAAAGATAAGATTGATCAATCAAAGATAAAACGCTTTCAAACGCCCTCGTCGCTGACTATGAACTACATGTACTCTCCGCTGGTTCGATGGGGATCCTTAGCAAGCCACATGCTTCATAGTTTGCTTTTGTTCATTTCTCTTTTGATGCCAGCAAACAGATATTCCAGGAGAAAGTCGATGATGAGACATGGTCATTTGCAGTGGACGTTGCCGCCAAGATGCTAGGACAAGTTTCCACCACGGCAAAAGTTGTATCCTTCCTATTGGAGCGGTACCACTCACCTTTAGGTCCCATAAATAGCCCCCTGTTCCATAGTGATGTCTCCGGGGATGACATCCAACACATCCACATCGTCCCATGTTGCATGAACAGTCCGTTCCCCTTTCAGGATACGGTTGATATTGAGCATTGTGCTATACATCACCCCCGAGCTGGAGAAGCCTGCTTGCTCACCGGTCTCATCTTGAATATCGGAAGACTTTGCTTTTGGCCCTGCCTGACGGAACCCGCCCGTGATCGATGGGTAAGGTGCAAAACACCGCAAATAACCATTACCGCACATGCGTCCGAGTGAGACGTCAAACTGGGCACCAATATTAATCTCCTCTGCAAGACCAGACGGGTTGACCGATAGGGCCGCGAGGATCCGTTGCGCACCACGGTAGCTCACGGCATAGAACATTGAGCAGACTGCGTCGCTTGCTGTGCACACAAGACGACTGTGATCGGGTCTCTCGTGGCCCTTGAATATCGGAGAGTCGCGCCACAGAGGGCGAAAGTGACGGGGCATTGGGATAGTTGGATCGTTCGGGGTAAGATAAAATGGCAAATCAGTTTTACATGACACGCCACAGTGGCCTAGCCATAGAATGTCCCAGTCGTCGCCGTATGGGGACTGGATTGGAGCTTTCTGGGTATCCTGGGGCTGGAGGGCTCGGACTGCGTGGGCGAAGCTCTGGAGCTGGAGTTTGAGTGATACATCCCAGTCGGCATCGTCTTCCATAATAATAGCGCTTGCTAATCTCTCCTGGACAATTCTAGGAGATAATTAGGTCAAGTCAAATATTGCAGTTTCAATCCACATACCGCTGGAGTCCATTGACATGCGCCCGCCGGGCAGCATACTCGGTTCGTTTCTGGTCATGATTCCAGTTCTAGAACGGTCAGTCGTCGCGTCTATTATATGACTTTAGAATACATACATATGGATAGGATTTATTATCTATTTCATCCGGAGTCACGCCGTCGATCCACTCGACGTGGAAATTACTGAGTGATGAGCCTAGAACAATATTGTCCCGCTTGTCAGGCCGGCTGGCAAGGTTAATGGCGAATACATTTTGAACCTAAATCGACATGAGCTGAAAGATCTCCAGGTGAGGGCCTGAAATGGAATCATTACCCCAAGGGTCTCGTTTCTGATGTCATCAAAATTATCCCAATCATGGTCGCTCGAGACCTCCTGGGTGGGGGCGGTTTCCTTGTGAGTGTTTGATCGTAGCTGGAAGAGGATGAAGGCGACCCCGAACACGACCAGAAGGAGCTGTACACAGCGTAGTTGGGATACAGGAAACGCCATCCTCAGTTATCATCGGGATTGAGACAACAGAACGCGTTAACCTTCCTAGACGTGTAGGAGGTAACATCCCATCCTCCGAAAGCATGGTTGGTCGATATATTTGGGGTCTCCACTATGCACATGGGTTGCCTCGGGTCATGTCAGCGACGCTAGTAGCATTATCTGGGTATGTAGCTGGGCTTGAGTCGAATGATCGTCGGCACGGCCGGAGGGCACTGATTTACCTGATATGACACGCGCTAGCTTGTTGATCTTCGGATCACAGGATTATAGTCCCTGTTATATTGAAACGCTCTTTCCTTTTCAAGGGCCTGCGGTATAAAAAATTCGCAGTCTGGTGAAGGTGCCCTGTAGTGATCTGGTAGATCCTACGGTATATGGAGCTTTGGACGGATTTCCTCCTCTTGGAGTAGTTTAACCTTCTAAACATTCCTTCGTATGACGAGTGCACTCGGTGAAAAAGAATCTGTCACGCTTGAAGACTGCTCTTGCTGCGGATCGTCGAAGATTGAAAGCTCTGACTCATTTCCTGAACGATCAAGCATCGGTTGAACCACCCGGTTAAACGGATAGAGGCCTGTATCTGCAAAGGCCCGATTGTACGAGATTTCAAGACCTCATTGCAAATTTAGGGATATCTATTTCACGGTATATTGCCATTTGCGGATGCACTCAATTACGGTGACGCCTTCGCCGGATTTCCCGGACGCTGTGCAGATCGTCCTTGATAGGCAGTTGCAATTTTGTCCTTACCCTCAATACGACAGCCAGTTTCATCAACGTACAGATATTGATCGGACGAACCCTCGCCGGTCGCCATATACGGCTTTCGAACTCCACCTTAACGGTCAACGACTGGGGATCCTGGGCAAGCCACATGCTTCATAGTTCGCTTCTTTTTCTTTTTGTTTTGCCACCCTCTAACAGATATTTTTCGTTTTTTTTTTTTTTTTTTTTTGGCTAAGGCAATATGTATGTTCACCATTGATATGAGAGAAAATGTGGTTTGTAGAAAGAAAAGTTTTCCCCTTTGTGGTGAGTCCAAGTCTTTTCTTTGATCTCGCATTCCGCAGATTGCATTCCTTAAGCCCGGGCCGGGATCTGGGATCTCGAATCTAGAATGTCAAATCTCACATTCTAGGCACACTACAAATCTATAAATTGACATGCCATGCAAAATCTAGGCCCCGTATTCCAAGACAGTGGCAATAATCGCTCTGCTTATCATGCTACATACTGTAGTTGACTTGCATAGCCTTCCGTACAATCCGGAGCCCAACCCTCGTCCAAAACCCATCAAATTCTTCAAAGTCTTCCAATCTGCAATTTCATTGCAATATACCATCAAACCATGGTCATCCAATCCTATTCTGGGGAGATCTTCGGTCAAGTGGAGTAGAGGGGACTGGACGAAGCGGAATACAAGACGGAATATGGATGCCAACCAAATTCCCGAGTTTGTACTATCTGTTATTGGTGCGACATTGTCTCCCTTCTCGGGAAGAATCTGGTTGGGTCTAAAATACCGGTCAGAGCTCTAGGTGCATTTTGATTGCTGAGCACATAGTCAGCACCCTGATCGGGTTCCCGGTATTAGGTGGTTGTCTCCAGGTTCCGATGCCCTGTGCCCTGCATTTTGTGTTTTAGGGCTGGGAGGGGTAATCTGGATACAGAAAGATCTTGAAAGTGAAGAGTCTAGATTCTAAGAATACACTGAGTACATCTATAAGGTCTCAAATTGTAGTGGTATTCACACAATAAAAATCTAAGAGATCGGCACTATTTTCCCACTAAAAAATCCAACGGCTCAAAAACTTAAAAAGTCTAGACCGCAGTGGGTGAAATTTACCTGTACGGAGTACGGAGTATAATACAAAACCACCCATCCCAGCTGGATTGGCTTAAAAGGCATCTTTGTCTTACAGTAGCATTGTCCAATGGCATGGACCCGTTACAATACGCACATGTCAGACGAAAAGACTGCAGTATTCTGACCAGTCCTTCCCTGGGGTGCGTGTACACCGAAACGTCATTTATAAGGCGACTAGAAAGCAAAGGTGCGCTGAGATCTTAATATGAAAAATAAAGAGCGGATATGGTATCCCCCAAGAAAGAAAAGAGACAAAAAGAAATTTGTGCCGTCGCTGATAGGTCAGTTAGTCAGGTACCAGAGGCAAAATATGTGGATCGTGAGACCCCAATAGGCTCCCGAGGGTTGGATCGGCTGAAGCCGGTCTATCCCCAGAGGAGATTAGGGCCAGGAGAAAAATGGTTTGTGCGCACAAGCCCCTGGTCTTTTCCAATGAGGATCTACCGGGGCGTCCGGGTACCTGAAAGTTGTGATATTCCCTCTGTGTTCTATGTTGAATGTAGGATAATACTCTGTGGTACTCCGTACATTACATATGTAGGCACCATAACAACGAAAGGAAGTGAGTTGTCCATGGTCCGGTACGGATCGTGGCTTGATTTGGACCATGGGTTTGGTGGATTAGTGGGTACCTAACCTTGGGAAGTGGGCCGTTTTCCTCTTTTGTGCCTTACTTTGGTATTTTATAAAGTCGAGACTTCCCTTCTCTTTCGTCTCTCCCTCTCTCTCTCTTTCAACCCATTCCTTCCTTTTTCAACACTCACGTTCCTTTCGAGTGCTTCCTGCTGTGCAGTTGATCAATCCTTTAAACAACCACACACACACCTTCTTTGAAATCTATTCCGATTCATTCGCAATGGCTCCTATCTCTAAGACTCTCGCCCTTGTTGGCGCTTTCTTCGCCATGACCGGCTACTCGGCTCCCGTCGCCAAACGCGTCGTCGTTTGGGAGACCGTTACTGATATCGTCTGGACCACCGTCGATGTCACCACCACCATCTACCCTCAGGCCACTCACTCCGCTACTCTCCCTGTGATCGCCAACGCTGTCACTACTACCGCTGCCGCTGTTGTCCAGGCTCCTGTCAAGGAACAGGAGAAGGCGGCGCCCACCACCTCGTCCACCACCACCACCGCTGCTGCTGCCCCTACTGTTGAGGCCATTGTCAAGGAGCAGGAGAAGGCTGCGCCCACCACTACCTCCTCCACCACCACTACCTCATCCACCACCACTACTTCTTCCACCACCACTGCCGCTCCCGCTCCCACCTTGGAGGCCTATTCTGCTCCCGCTCCCGTCGTAGAGGCTGAGACCACTTCCACTGCTTCCCCTGCTACCATCCGGACGGCCAAAAAGGAGACCACCAACACCGAGACCAGCAGCGGCCGCACCGGCCCCTGCTCCGAGGGCTCCCCTTGCAGCGGTGAGATCACCTTCTACGACACTGCCACTACCAGCACCAACCCCAGCTCCTGCGGCACTACCAACGACGGTACCGTCGAGAACGTTCTCGCCCTTCCCCACGGTATCATGACCGACGGTGACTGCGGCAAGACCGTCACCGTCACATACAACGGCCAAACTGCTACTGGTATCGTGGTCGATAAGTGCATGGGTTGTGACAACGGCTCTGTCGATCTGTCACGTCACTTCTTCGGCGAGCTCGCCTCCATGGACCTGGGCCGTGCCGATGGTGCCAAGTGGTACATCCATTAAACGTTGCGTCGACCGCGCGTTGGTATTGATGGCCACGAATACGAACATGAACAATGGACACATCTCTGGTAGATTGCGCAAGCGGATATTGTCTTGACGACTCTTCCCTTTTTTTCCCCTTCTATTCACTTTACTGTGATCTTTTGCCCTTCTTTCCCAGTCTCTCCGAAAACCCAATCATTCATCTTTCGGAGAGACCGGGCCTTTTTTTTACCTTTCGTCCACTCCTTTGACCCTGGATCTTTTGACCATTTCGCGTGTCCCTAGTGGACCGCATTCACATTTTACCCATTTTTTCATGTTCATAGAATCTTCTTTTCTTCGGAGTCTTCTTGTGAAATACCACCTTATGATGGACCCCATTCGGCCACAAGACATATTCTTACGATCCCTGCGCGCATGCTGGCAAGTCATGGACGGTTTGACTCTCTTGACGAGATCTCGAACATGCAAATGCGACAGGGCAATGATGATTACGATGATCATGCTCGTCAAACGAAAAAAACCCACAAAAAAAGGATGGCATACTGCAGGAGACGGATCATTGAATAAAATTCGTTTCGTTTGACACGTGTTTGTTTGCTCCAATAGTCTCTCGAGTATTCGTCCTAGTACAGAGTAGTATCCAGCTAGTACCAGTAACTGTGTACGGAGTACTCCGTACTCCGTACAACATACCCCTTAGTCTTGCCCCTTTCCACTTTTGAGACTCATCCAAGTCGGCTCAACACGGAAAAAGAACAGCAACGCAAGGCTAATGACTATATTGGTCCACGCTGAGACAGCTGCGCCTCACTTCTAGCTTGGGATGCTCAATTGCGGGCCTCCATCTCCAGTTAAGTCAGGCTATGCAGCGGACTTTTCTTGCGATATTGTCTTAAATTTGGATCTGCAGTGCTCTGACGATCTCTATGTGCTTCCCGTCTATAGTCTAGCCCTGAACCCCATCCTATCATTGACAACCAGATAATCCAGCTCAATCGAACACCACGCCATTCCTCAGCGTTCCAATACCATCAATAACAACATCCATCTGTGTTCCAGGGACCAGGTACTTCGGCGGCGAAAGACCAGCGCCGACACCTAACAAAGAATTCAAGTCAGCTCAAGCAATTCCATCCCAAACAAACAAACTGAAAAGGGATAAAACTCACCACCAGGCGTTCCCGTCATAATAACACTCCCCTTCTGCAACGTCGTACCCTGCGAAAGATATGACACCAGATACGCGCAATCGAACAAAAGATCCGCAATATACTCCTCCTGTCGAACCTCCCCATCAACGATGGTCTTCAGCAGCAGCTTACTAGGATCGGCGATCTCGCTCGCAGCAACAAGACACGGTCCTAGCGGGGCAAACGTATCAAATCCCTTGGAGAATCCCCATTGCGGCACACGTCCCGCGAGCTCCGGGCTACGCTGCAGCTTGCGCGCTGAGATGTCGTTGCCGACTGTGTAGGCAGCTACATAAGAAAGCGCATTCTCTTGGGAGACGTTCTTAGCATCGCGGCCGATAACCAGGCACTGTGGGCGTTTGTTAATATACTGGATACCAGGGCAGGGTATTCGTAGACCCCAGATCAGGGGACGTGTCTTACCAGCTCGCCTTCGTAATCTGCCTGCGAATCCTGGGCGATCTGCGGGATTGCGACGGGTGCGCCGTGGTCGTGGATTGTGGTGTTTGGCTTGAAGAAGATGAATGGGAATGGGGGCGGGGTGCGGCCGGCTTCTTTGACTGTAGACACAGCGGATATTGTATAAGTTACTGTCCCTGTGGAGTGTTTTGTCTAGTTAAAGATGGGAAAACTTACTATGCTTTGCATAGTTCAATCCAACACAACGAATAATAGGAACATCTGTCTGCGCCAATGGGCCTAGGACGGTCTTCACCGAGACGATTTCATCGGTGACGTGTGTTTTGCCCGTGGTGTCGTAGAGATCATCGCCTTCGATCACACGTGCTTGCAGTTTGTCTGACTCGGTTATAAAGCCCAGGTCTGTTGTTGGGGTGGGAAGGATGGGCTCGCCGCGTAGGGTACGGCCGTCTGTTGCGATGAAGCGGATTAGGCGTTTCCACGGGAGAGACATGTTTTTGGATATATATTTCTTGGTCCTGCTTGTTTTAATTGAAATTGACTAATAGAGAGGCATTCATTCCGGGAGTTGGGGGGTTATATGGCTCTTTACTGTCGTTGTGCCGGGGATAGATCGGGTAGACCGGGGTTGTCGGGTGTAGTTCCGGGATCGGGGGCATGGCTCGGATTGAGGGGTTTGGTAGCTAATCGAATGAGAAATGAGAGGATGCAGGGAAACTGGGGTATGACTAGTATAACCTGTCCCATTGGTCGATGTGCGAATTAATTTTCTTCTGGAAATCGGACGTCTACAGTGACTGGACTGATATTGATGAATAGAGGCCAACGGAAACGTATAATAGATCTATCAACGGAAACTTATAATAGATCTAGCACTGCTTCAATAGTTTACATAGAGAGCGAAAAGAGCCCTGGAGATGGGAACGAGGCATACATCAGGAATGTAATATGTAGTCACCCAAAAGGAAAATTTTATATTCTCTATGGAGACGGTCTTTTCTACAATTCCAACTTCCAAGCTCTATCAATCTCTTGCTCAGCATCATATCCATAACACCACATCTGGGTTGCCGGATCACTCCACTGGTTAGGGCTGTGACTGAAAGGCAAACCTAAAGTCTCGGGCTTCATAGCTGCATCACGAGCTTCCTGAAGCGGCCCGTCGGCGAAATGCCAAAGCTTTCCATTCAGAAGACTGGCCTCTTGCATCATTCCAGCTCGCTCGATACGAACTTTCTCGAAAATACCTAATGCTTTGGGGATGTCTGCGACATTCTCGATCTTGGATAGAGATCGTGCCAGTGCTGCGCCGTCTTCGACGGCCATTGCCGCACCTGTCTAGTTTTAGTGACTGTTGTCGATGTGAATTGTGGCTTTGGACTTACCTTGTGACATATAAGGAAGCATTGCATGTGCTGCATCTCCTAGGATCAATACCTTGCCATTCACCCAGCGAGGTAAGGGGACTCCACTAATCAGTGGCCATTTGATGGTTTTTTCGATGAGTCCGATAATCTTCTCGAGTCTGGAAATATATTAATAAAACGACAAAAGGAGCAAGTTTCAAAGACTCATACCGGCTGTCCCATCCTTGGAACTCGCGTCTCATATCACTGAGAGTATTTACCTGATCCCAGGTTGAAGGATCGCTGTCATCTGGATGCGAAAGAACCATGTTGAAAGACTTGCCAGCTCCGATGGTGTATGTCATTACGTGACGTTGATCGCCAATCCTAGCAAAAAGGTCAGTTGGGGTTCGAAGATCCTTTCATACTTGTGCTAACCAGATATTGAGAGCCGGTTTTTCCAACAGCCAAGCAAGTTCTGGGTCTTCCTTGATGCGCTCCACGTCCACGGTAGCTCGGTAGGCTGCGAACCCGGTCTTCTCGAATGATGGCTTGCCGCTCTCATCGAGTGTTCCACGAGCGACTGATTTGACACCTACAATACATTAGAATCGGCCATATATATCTCAGGAGCGTCGGGATATATACCGTCTGCGGCAACGACCAAATCAGCCGAAGCAGTTTCACCATTCCCAAGGACGATACTTGGTCCCTCGACATTATATCCCACAACCCGCGAAGCGACCTTGACTGTGACACCCAGATCCAGGGCGCGTTTATGCAGCGCAGAATGGAAGTTTGCGCGATGGATCACATAGTATGGTGCGCCGAACTGTTCTCGGAAGTTCGGAATAAGTTGCGTAAGCCCGATGACACCTCCTGATTGCCAGCGTCGGAAAGAAATGGACCCTGGCTCGGTCACATACTCTTTCAGGTATGGGTCTAGCCCGAGCCTGCTCAGAAGACGAGTCGAGTTTGATGGTATTTGGATACCAGCGCCGACCTGAGGTAGGTGATTAGCTTTGGTTTGCATCGATGGAGGAGAGTCAATACTTCTCCGAGCTTCTGTGCTTGCTCATAGACAGTCACGGTGTGACCTGAGCCTGCAAGCGCGATGGCTGTTGCGAGTCCGCCAAGTCCGGCCCCGACGACGATAATGTTTAGGCGAACCTGTGCAGGGATGGTCCTTTCACCTGCCAATGGATCATTCAAAAATTCGAGGCAGTTGCTGGGATATGTTGGGGTCTATTGATTCATTAATATATGGGTTTCCATTTCGGGATGAGAAACTCACCTTCAATGACGCCTGAGAAACATGGCCACTGGCCTGACCATTAGACACCATCTTGCTTACTGTCACTTGCTTTGTTTCACAGAGAAATAATTGGAGCCCAACAGCGCATATCGTCGGATCACCGCCTTTATGACCCCTCGGCTGGGAACGTACCGGGGAAGACCATCCGATCTTGCCCCGGACTTTAGCAAGAGCCGATGACCCCCCTACAAAAGTGTTCAAGATATATTTGAAGGACTATTTCTCCATAGAAGTTAGACAATACAACCCAAAGATCTTTCTCATTACCAAAACAACCCCAACCATGACTTCAACTCAAGTGGAAAGTGTCGTTGACACAGAGGAGCAGCTTCTCGCTGACCTGGAAGCGAGCAAGACCCTCCCTTTGTGGAAGCAGATGGCTCGTCTGAACCCTCCAGCGCCAAACCCAACAACCATTCCAAATGTCTGGAAGTACAGCGCCATCAGACCTAACTTGGAGCGCGCTGGAAAGCTCGTCCCAGCTGACCAGGCTGAGCGCCGGGTGCTGATGCTCACCAACCCAGCTCGGGGTATGTACAAAGCTATCCTTTGATTTCGCATTGCACTATACCTTTCTATTTACTATATACTGCTTGCAACTGTTTCTAACATCCTATCAAAGATGCCCCCTTCACCACCGATACCCTCTACGCTGGTTTGCAGCTAGTGATGCCCAACGAGACCGCGCGCGCTCACCGACACACGGCTTTTGCCATGCGCTTCATCATTGAAGGCCAGGGCGGCTTCACTGCTGTCCATGGCCGACGCATCACAATGCAGCGCGGAGATGTTATTCTCACACCAACCTGGAACTACCATGATCACGGCAAAGACGGCTCTGGACCTATGGTGTGGCTGGATGGGCTGGACCTGCCTAACTTCAGACACTTCCCTGTGCACTTTGTGGAACACTTCGATAAGCCCCGTTATCCTGCGGAGAATGTTGATAGTACCACTTCGCCGTTGGTTTTCCCGTGGGTCACCATGAAGGCGCAGTTGGATGGAGTTGCTGGGGATTGGGTTACGAAGAGATATTTGAAGGAGGATGGACGTGAAGGTATGGGATACCTTTTTTATTGCTTGACTCCACGGGCGAAAGGATGGCTAATGATTTTTATAGTGAGTCGCGTCCTTGGGGGATGTGCTGAGCGAATTTCGGCATCTAAGGCTTCGCCTTCCCGACGGGAGACTACGTCCGCTGTTTACCATGTCATCACTGGAAAAGGACGCTCGATTATTGGCGATAAGGAATATACCTGGGAGCAGGGTGATACTTTCTGTGTTCCGGCGTGGTACAGATACCAGCACTTTGCGGATGTTGAAGAACCGGTCTATCTGTATCGGTTTGATGATAAGCCCATGATTGATGCATTGGGATTCTATCGCTCGGAGGATATGGATGTTGAGTCCCTTGTGGACGAGTGAAACCTTTAATATGGCGTGATTGGGTACTCAGGGTCAAACGATAGAATGTAGCACAACTCCGACTGAATTTGGAATTTGACAATGATAACATGCGTTGGAGATACTCCCCCATAGACGCAGCTCGGTCAAATTGTAGAATGGGTTTCATTGCCTTCGTAAGATCATTGCCTGTTGAGTGACAAAAAGCCACTGGAATCAAGCATCGAGAACATCATAATCTATAAGAGAAATCCAAACAAGAAATATCCGCGATTCACAGGTCAAGCGGGAACGTATGGTTTATCGCTTCTGACAATATACACTTCTCCAACGAGAACTGCACATCCAATCACCATAGAGATAGCAATAATGGGGAGGTTCACACGGGCAAATTCCAGACTGCCGACACGGATGTGCTTTCTCGCCAAGATATCCCTCCACAGCAGCCCCGCCAGGGAAGCACTAAACGCAGTGCTGAATGCGCCATAATTGACTCCAAGCGCCATGCTGTAGACAGTGGCCCACCATGTGCGATCGGTGATGGGGACTCCACTGACTTCGTGAATCTTTTGCCATGCTTGGATAACACGCGAAAGGAGAATCGTAGTACCGATGTTTGTGCCAGCAAACTAGTGATCAGAAGATGACGAGTTAGCGGGTGTGAAGGGGGAGAGAAACAGTGGTCAATACTCACATTACACAGAATCACAGATAGGAATCCCATTCCACCGATACTGCCTACTGTCCCGGTCTTTTCTACCCAGTGATCCCATCCGTACGCGAAAACCGGCACCCAGCCCTTTGTAACAAGAGCCTGCACCAGGATAAACATCGTAAAAGCGAACGGTACCAGTGCGAAAGGCATGTGGGATACAACGACCGTCATGGTCGGAAATGTCTCCTGTGACCAGCGGTGCAGATCAGCAGCGAGCGACACCAACGTGTGGGGGCCGTGGTCCTGATCATTTGGATATCTCCACTTCTCCTCATCTATCGTGTATGTGGTTTGTCTCGAGTCTAGTGCCTCTGGAGAAGTTGCGTGAGCTAGGTGTTTGCTGTCCATTGTAACACTGCCTAGTGGCTGCAGTGCCGGAAACTTTTCGTTGTCATCGAGGACAGAGAGTGATAATGGAGTTCCGCAATCATCCTTTGAAGCGATATCACTATTGGTGCTCTTAAGCGACATGTCGCCATCTGTGTGCTCACTGCGGTGGCGCAGGCCTGAAGCATCATATTGCTCAGACTGGGCCGACCGCAAAATCCCCGGATCCATATTTTCTGACAATGCTTGCTGTTCTTCCTCTCGCTTGCGCATGTTTCGCTCTGCCTGTGCCTCCTCAACCTCCTGTCGACCCTTGGCGGCAATCTCACGGGTGTCATGGCGATGGAGCCAACCGAACACGATATCCCAGCAGAACATAACAAAAGCAGCGGGTAATGTGACCCAGAAGACGGGTTTTTCTTTGCCTGATGCATTGATTGCCAGGACGGTGATAAGCGTTGCGGCCATGATGATCCCCCCGAAAGATGCACCCTTTTTGTCTAAGAACGGGTTCATGATCTCTTCTAGTGAGAGTTGCTTTCCCTCGTTATCGTCGGCATCCTCTTTCTCTTCGGCGGTTCCTCTGGCATTAGGAATGTTGGGGTTCACGGGTGCTTTTTTCTTTTGGTCCTCAGACAACTCATGCATTGTGATGGAGAGGGGGATGAGGGTTTCATCAGCGAAAATGATATACAGCAGGAACGGGAAAAGAACGATTGCCGTCACAACTACGGGAACGATCATGTTGGCTGTGTAGACAATGAACTTGATCTTGAAAGCACCAGCAAGGACCAGGTTGGTGGGGTTGGAAGAGACAAGAATCGCGGAGGCGATGTTGGCTATGGCAAACTGGCTGTGGATCCAGGCTCTAGGGTGGACGATATTGCTTGATACACGGGTCATATATGCGAGGAATGCTGTACCCGACAGAATGATCGGGTCATTTCCGATGAAGCTGCCCAGCCCGAAAAAGAAGATAAAGAGGTAGAAGAATAGTCGGTGGCCGACCTTGCCTGCCTTTTGGAGAACCTTAAAGGCTAGGTATCGGATGAGACCAGAGGCGTCAATCGAGATGGCAATGTAAGCGAGTGTGAGGAAGAAGACCATGATATCAATGGGGTTAATGTTATCTGCCCCGACTATTCCATCATGTACCTCTTTTCGGCCAATAGCCAAAATGGCGAGAAGGAAGAGATCGGCTATTAAAGGTGCCGTAATGAAGTTCAATGGAAAGCGAAGTTTCACAAAGATGGATTGCTTGTCATTGGGTCCAGGGGGAGTCCGGGGAGCTATTATGCGCATGGCACTCAATAGGTCCAGAAGCCCGTTCGTAAGCCATCGAGGCACGTATATTGGGATATGAAATGGGAAAAGGACAATGATATCTGCTCCGCAAAAATTCAAAAGTAAGTCTCAATCTCACATTGTAGGCTTAGCCACACTTACTAGTTATAACAAAAATGATTAGGGTGATGATTGATCGCCAACTTTTTATTTTCGATGTATCGAGTTCGTCGTCCATTTTGAATGTTCGCTATTCTTTCCGAGGTTCGATTCAAGAGCATGCACTAGGTGATGGCTGTGGTCGTCAGTCACCAAGTCAGCCTCTCTATTTTGTTTCAGCTCCAGTTAGGCATGGTGACAAAATACCGGAATATGGAGCAAGAGAAATCCGAGTATCAAGATCCAACTCTTGTAGTTATCGCAGGCGCATTTCTCTTATGCAAAGAGAAACCACAAAAGAAAAAAGAAAAAAAGCGATTTGCTTTTTGTCGATCGAAAATCCAGAGGAATTTTGCCAGTTGCTCTCTATCCCATGTGTTTGTATGCTTGGGAGGGATCAAGAAATTATCACAAATGCGGAGAACTATAGTGGACTGCCCCTCATAATCACACTGGCGAGTTCAAATTGTGACTTAAGGGAAGACAGATGGGAGTCCAGCTGCTAATGAACAGTCAAGGTCTGAGGTTGTAAAATATCTCCGTGTTGGAAGTGGATTTTTGTGGATCAAGTATGGGCTTTATTAAAGTTGTAAACTCGAAGTAATTAGTTCGATTTTGATGTCACAGTGAAAGCCGGGATAAGAGAAATTTTCTGAGGGTCTGAGGGGGTCTGAGCCTCAACAGAAAAGAGCAATCAAAAAAAGGTAAGACATGCACGGGACACAAGAGGACATTTTGATTAGCTTGGGATTGGCTCTTGACAAGAAATGCCACGAAAGGTGAGAGGACCGGGGGGATTGGCAAGACTTGGAGACTCCGCTGTTTCCAGGAAAGTTTTGACATCCCTTTAATGTTACCCGACCCATGGTTCGGTCAATATCAGACCCAATATTTTCTTTCTCTTACTGGGATTAATAGAAAATTCTTTTGTACTTCTTTTACATCACATAGCCACCCGATATGCACTCCGTACCGGGTCTTTGCCAATCAGCGGGAGTTAGCAATCGCCCCATCTCGTATTCACGCCCGGGTTGTTGCGCCCAAATCAACATCACGGGGGCACTTGTCGTTTGGAGGACGATAAAGGTTCTTTGGGGCTACCCAATCCCAGCTAGACTGAGGCTCCAAACTCCAAGATGAGGCTTTTGCTGACGAAATAACTTGCCTGCGTGCCCTATTCGCTTTGTTTATCTGGTCAAGGGAGTAGCGCTTCGTGGATAAGATGGCCCGTGGACTCCCTGCTTTCTTTCTCTCTCCATTTATTATGATACCACGTTGAGCTTCATAAAGTCATCGACAACATTAGAGAGCAACACCTTAATATATGCTTTTTTTGCTGTTTTATCCTAAAGTCACCATCGCCGGAGGCGGATAACATGCAATGCCAGCAATTCCATTTGTTGCCTCCTTACTAGAGCACGTTCTCGTGCATCGTGCTACTGCATCGCCCCCTAACATGACAGCAAGCTCCGCATCTCTCGAGGTTGTTTGCGCTTGGCCAGTTTCCGGTCAATATGGCCCGGGGACCCGAGTCCTGTAGGGTTTCCCCACAAAGAGATTGGCAGTCTTACCATGATATACTGATAATCATTTCAGATACTATGTCTTGGTTATGGCCTGTGTGTTCGCTCGCAAAGTAGAATGGATTCGAAACGCTTGTCTGGCCGCTGTGTTACTTTTCCCCGCTATCGCGGCTCTTCACGGGATTGTGCTTGCTGCGCTTCATGTTGACGGTGAGTCTAATCCCTTTTGCCATGAATTGATATTTGTCGTCTAGTATGACCCCATGGAGATGATCAACGAATTTAATCTTCTGTAGGCGCTGTCGATATGGATGTTTACGGGGCGTTCCAGCTGTGCTCAATCGGCATTTTGACTGCCCCAGCGACCGTCAGACTGTCCAAAACCTACTTCAACAACCCCGGCCGTGACATCATATTTCTGTGGACAGTCCTTCTCCTGGTTGGGCTAGTGAGCTTGATTGTGGAATTCATGCGCCTCGAACCCATTACTTGCCCGAGTGACGACCCGGCAAGCATTCACTGGGCCTCGACAGGGGGCACAAAAGGTGGTGTGTTCATATATGGCTCCAATTGTAGCATTACTTGTTCACCGGAAAGTGGGCCAGCCTCACCGTTGCGGTTACGCGCAGCTAACAATATCTACGTGGTTCCAGTGCCTCATGAGCTGACATTCAATGCTACTACGCTTATTGCGGCTGCATGCTGCATCCCCGGCATCTTGTCGTTAGTATCCATGTGGATTAAAATCTTGGACGAGAAGTTCTTAAATGGAAAGCACAAGCAGAAGCAAGATGAAGTCATCAAGGGAACCAACGGAGCTACCATCAGCCACATGACTGAGATTACCCAAGTTATAAAGAAATGGTTAACTATCATCGGGCTTCCGTTGTTTGCTGCAGCCGTGCTGGCAATTCTCGTCAAAGGCGAGATGAACTTTTGGAGTTTTCAAATGAGCTATCAAACAGAGCCTATACAAAGCATTGGTAAGTAGATGCTGTGTCTTATATGACTTTAGCGATTGGAAACGCAAATGGCACAGACTTACTAAAATACGCGTCCTTAGGCCAATGGGCGCCAATTATTGGTACTGCATTCGCTGTAGTGGGCTCACTGTATCTCATTCTGTCCGCGGATATGGACGCCGCGATTATTGAGGATGGACAGCAAGAAGAGGCTACCGTGGGAAGATGCACACATTGCGACTGTGCTGTTTCAGACACCGGAAGCAGTTCCCGACGAGGCTCTAGAACAACTGTCGAGAGACTGGATGGCAATAATGAAATGCCACCAATACGACGTCCTACCACCAATATCCAGCCCGATCTGGGAAGACGAAAGGTTGCTCGCTTCTTTAATAAAACAGGTACCCTTATCGCCAACAAAGCCCAAAAGCAAATCGAGAACGGGGGATTTCGCGCGAAAACAACTTACCCCCTAACCCCAGGAGAAGAATATAAAAACTCAAAACTCCAAGATCAGATGGCCCATTTCCAAAGGTCATCTACACCCGATCACCGATCAAAAGCTGGAAGTTTCATAAGCAACACGGGCTCCGTGGATAATGGCGAAGGCAGCTCGAGGTCCTGGAGTCAGACACGGCATTCCGTGCCTACTCCAGCTGTCTTGCGGCCAACACCCGGTAAAGCTCACTCAAATTCGCTCCCAGGTGAGGTACTTAGGACATCAACCTTGCAGTGCTCTCCTGCGCTCGCGTCTGGGGGGTGGCAACAATTGCGTCCGTTCGGTACAACTCCAATCTCGCGAAGTAGAGCACCATCGACTTCCGAGATCAGTTCCACAGCTTCATCACCGGGACCTCAGATTCCACCAAAGATAGTAATATCCCGTGATGAAGATAGTTGATTGTTCTGTCTATGGTGTTTTTGGGCCCCAATGTTTCAAATGGCGCGTGGTTTGCTGGACATGGCTAGTCCGCTTTACGATTCTATGAGCTCACTGTATCTGGTTTAGATATTTTGTTGGATTAGATGGTGTATATATACAGGTTGCTTCATATCGCAGCAAATTCATGAAGCGTTACCCCCATACCCTTCTCATGCCCTTTTCCAATATTTTCCCTGGCCAAAGTCTGGAAGGACCAATAATCATACATCGCAAGCTATTGCCAAAGAAAAGAGACATCCCGTAAAATTGAAATATATCCGCCAAAATCGAGATAATGATTAAATCCACTGTCAATGTCCACACCCCGGCAACACCGGATACCCACCCGATCTACCCCCGCCCGACACAACCCCAGAAACAGGCACACCCCTGCAACCCCTGGTCATATGATACTATCAAATGGCATCGAATTCACCGGATAATGAAACGCCTAGCGAGCGGCCCTCCAAACGGCGCCGTGTAGCCATCGCCTGTGATGCGTGCCGAACCCGCAAATCCCGATGTGACGGCAAGCGGCCCAGCTGCTCGTTATGTCAGGATTTGGGCTTTGAATGTGTTTACACGCCGCCACCAACAGCCGCTAACGTTATCGTGCAGAAAGACTATCTGCATGGGCTTGAGGATAGGGTAAAAAGGCTTGAGGAGTCGTTTGGAGCTGTGAGGGGTGATTTGGACGGGTTGGTGAAAAGGGTTGACCATGGGCCCGAAAGGGAAAGGGACAGGGAGTCCGCCATGTCCGGTCGAAATTATGGGGAGAGTCAAGATGAGACGAGAATCGCTGCAACGATGCCTGGCTTGATTGGGACGGAGGATTCAGTCGATGGTATGGGTGCGGTGATTTTTGCTGACGAGGAGGATTCTGGGTTCTTTGGTAAGTGTATCCGCTTGGTAATGGAGTTGTTATTGCTAACCATTCAAGGCCCTTCTTCAAATATTGCATTTCTTCGACATTTGTCAAGCGCTATTGTCCAACCGGGGTATTTCCCTTCACCTGGCGCTGCTGAGGGTGGCTTCGTGAATGCATCGAGACCATCATCGCCACTACGTCAGGCAGGTCAAAACCAGCGTGTCCAAGTGAACATTTTTGCTTTACCCCCGCAGGCGAACACTTTGGAGCTCATCGAACGCTATTTCTCTAACACGGGCTTACTATTTCCTTACATATACCCACCCGTGTTCCTGGAAACATATCACCAGATGACAAGGGAGAACTTCAGTCGGGTACGGAGAACCTGGCTTGGCTTGTTGAACATGGTTCTGGCTATGGCTACTATTACTGCGATTCCTGGAAGTGCGAGCGCAGATGCTCGGATCGAAGAATCAGATGTCTTCTATCAGCGTGGCCTTGGCTTGTGTGGGAGTGAAATCTTGCGAGGGACAACCCTAGAAGTGGGTAAGTGGCTCTCGACTGTTGCTTTTTGTTTTTCTTTTTGAAATATTGTCCTGATTGTGTTTTCCTAGTTCAATATCTGCTTCTGATGGGTCAATACCTCCAAGGCACGCAAAAGTCAATACAAGCATGGACCGTCCACGGATTAGCTGTCAAAGCCGCTCTTCAGCTTGGACTACATTCGCGCCATGCGTCCAAATTATTTTCCCCGATCGAGCAAGAGATGCGAAAGCGGACTTGGTATGGCTGTGTGGTTTTAGACCGGTAAGTGGGTAAATCTCCACGCGCAAAACATATGCTGACAATACAGAACTCTGAGCATGACTTTCGGCAGACCAGCAGCCATTCCAGATAGTTATGTCAAGCTCGAGCTGCCCACGAAACGGGAATTTGAAAACTCAACGGGACTTGTCGATGACGAGACAGCGGCCTTGAGCGTTGCATTCTTCAACGCGACAATGTAAGTGATTGAGCTGACACCCATGCAACTCCTGTTTTCTGACCTATACAAGTGGACTATATAAGCAGCTTTGGAACATTCTAGAGCTTCTCTACGGCCAAAACATCGGCTGCGATGGTCCATTACCAGTCAGCGAAACCGTGGCCCATATCTTCAGCTTGGAACAGCATTTGTTCTCCTGGGAACGGTCGCTCATCCATCCATTACAACTTATATCGTTGGCTAACATTAATGATCTGCCTCATGACCAGATGTCGTCCAATTCCCAATATCTCTCGTTGAAGTTTCAAGTCATTCTCACCTTGAGATATCTTAATCTTCGAGTCTTGCTACACCGCCCAATATTGGTCAAATTCATCACAGCAAGCAGGTCCCCTGATCGTGATCCTCAAGATATGAGGTTGTTGCAGCAGATCGGTATGAATAGTTTGCAGATATGCGCAGATTCCGCAATGGAGATTATTGATATCGTACACCGGGTGTTATCAGAACCTGGATGGAAGCGCAACCTCTTGGGAGCTTGGTGGTTCTCATTATACTACAGTATGCCCCCAGTTCCTCGCTCTGAAGTTTTGTCTGCTGACAGTTTCTAAGCTTTTAACGCGGCACTGGTCCTCATCGGAGTTAGTTGGGTCTACCGTGATTCCAGCCTAACAAACTCCCCAATGACAGACCAAGCAAGTAAAGCCAGACAATATCCTGGTCGTGCAGTAGCAGCACTGTCCAGGCTCGATGAAGGAAACCGATTGATCGATCGATGTCGGTATTACTTGGAACAGTTCAGCAAGGTCTTGAACGATTCTGGTCAGTCTCCTTTCCCTCGTCTTCGTGTTACTGAGATTATACTAACATTAGTCTATCCAGAAACGAACTTCGATGCCTCTACTACAACCCTTCCCGCTCTTCATGGTACTCGAGCCGGTCTCACAGGGGACGACTTCAGTCTCTCGCCATTTGGTATGGAGCTTGGTGAGTTCATGATGGATGGGGATCTTGTCACGATGATGGATCGCCAGGGACTTCTTCCCGTAGATCCTGATTCTGCCTTCACTGCTTGAGATTTGGCTGTGACAACCGCACTTGTAACAATATTATACTCCATAGCAGCTGGTATTGCTCTGATTATCATATACTATCCTATCAATCTTCTCTTTTTTATTTATATCCCTGCTATCTGATCAGGTATTTAGCCTCCAATACCTAAAGATCAGTTTGCGCGTGGCGTGACTAGGCTTTAGAATTGTCCAGTGATTCAAATGCACCTTGACGTGTCTCAATTCTGTTGGTTCGCTCATTATGCACATCGCCTCTAGTAGGTGTTACGGAGAATATAAAACGCAGGATAGAAAGTAAATACGCTCGAATGGCAAGGATTATCAAAATTAGCTTTGGTACTGATCACTGTCCAGAATTAGATGTATCAACTACCAGATAAACACCCATGACTGACTCTTCAAGAATCAAGCTCCTTTCTCCGCTCAAGTTTAGCCCGATGTGCCATTCTTGCGAACAGTGTCGCCATTCCAGCATGGTCGCAGTCAACATGAGGCTCCTTTTCCAGCAAGATATCCCCCTCCTGTCCATCACGCTTAGAAAAGTCGAAAGCCTTTGGCTTGTCACAGTTATACTGTGCATTAGCCGCGCGAAGAAGGCAGATCTCATTCTTCATGCAGTCGCCAGTGCAGCTCTCGACTTCGAACCCGCGAACGCGTCTCGCCCAGTAATCTTGGAAAATGGTCGGATCGCGTTCCATGGCAACCGTGACGTTGTGCCAGAAAGCGGGACTAATCTCGGCCTTTGGGTCTGTGAGGGGAGGTGAGATCTTGGATCCGTAGTCTGCTTTGGCGGAGTAATAGGGTACCCATTTTGGCTTTGTCTGGAAGGATGGGTCGCTAATGTTGGCAATGTACTGGGTGTAATCTAGGACGCCGAAGGTGACTGGATCAATCTTATAAACACGGAAAGATGGTGAGCCTTCCGTTGGGGTCACCGCTGGAGCGACATAACCCATTGCAGTGGCTGTGTTCCAGTCTCGGTTGTTGTAGTCGGAGTATGCGACCTGGAATCCATCCCTGTGCGTATGACCATAAAATAGTCCTGCAATGGTGGCATCGTAGCGCTGCACAATCTGGTCGAAGTACTCCGAGTGGTCGCGGAAGTGATCTGGCACACCGGATGGGATGTGAGAGATCAACCATGCGCGTTGGCCCGCATCCTCGGCAGCCTGCAGTTCCTTGATGAGCCATTCAAATTGTCCGCGTGGGTCCTTTTCCATTGGCTCCTGGTACATATAGAAGTTGTATATGTAGTAGAAGATGCTGTTGTAAGAAATGATGCGTAGATTGCTATTGGGGTGGACGGCTGAGTACGAGGCAAATTGATCCGCAGATTTGACTGAATCAACGCCCGTGAGCCCATACCAATCTTCTGCAAGAGCATCGTATGCCCATTGGGGATCAGCTTCATGCGAGGCATCCGCAGGAAAGAGGTTGAGTGGTGCGGTGTCATGGTTTCCTATGGCAGCGTACACAGTGCCGATATCCTTTTCCATTGCACTGTACGTGGCATTGAGCCCTTTCACAACTGCAGCCTCGTCGGCCAACCAGACATCGTGGGGCACCACGTCGCCGGTATAAATGGAGAACTCCGGATTAATGTCTGCAATAGCAGCATGCAAGCTCTCCTGAAGTGTTTGTGGCGGGTCACACTTTGTGTTTCCAAATGGTCCACATGGGTGCTCTGTGTTCCCCGGTGCATGTTCATCGGAATAGGATCTGCAACAGATGGGCTTGGAGCACTCGTAGCTAGATCCAGGCTCGTAGAGAAGGTCCACGTGTGTATCGCTGAAATGGACGATCTTGAGCGGGGCCTTGCCGCTAGGTGGCGGCCTCACAGTCTTTGGCTTGGGTGAAGGGAACGTTAGACTGTAGGGATGAACCTCAGGGTATTTGCAGAGCCCGACCAAACTAGCGCACAGTGTCTTGGAGGCGTCAGAGTTAAGGTGTAAAGCTTTGAAAGCATCATGCAGCGCAGGTCCTTCCTTGTTGATAATTCCGGTGCAGACATCTGGGTCCTCAACCTGTATCCTTGTGATTAATGGGATTGAACTCCTAAGCTCATGGGAATAGTCAACGTACTCCGCTGATCTTGCACAACCCAGTGAACACATCGATCATGAACTTCTCACCAAGCCCTGCGGTAACTTTGATGGTACCGAGGAGAACCTGTAGAAATGGAGTGAGCTAAAGGCCTTCGTAATGAAAGTGCCGAACATAATCATACCTGGCAAGAACTGCAGGTCACTGCATTCTTGAGGTCCTCCCAGATAGAAGCGATAGACTTCTCAACTTGAGTCTCGGCTTGTACACCCCGGAGAGATGCCGAAAGCCCGCACGCCAGCAGCAAGGTGTTAAGTCTCATCTTGAGGATTGACTAGACGAAACGGCTGATTTGACAAAGACAACCTCGGTAACAGTCAGGGCACTCCGTACCTTCCCAGCGTTGATGTCAAGTCATGGGCAGTCGACATCTTAAATATAATGGGCCAAAAGCACCGGGTCAGACCATTGCCGTACTTTGCCAAATAGAAGGTGATCCTACAGCTCGCTTAGAGGAATTGAACTAAAGACCTGCAGCTTACCCACTTAGTGAAGATCTTTTTTTCAGTTCCGACATAGCCTTGGGACACCTTTTTACCATGTGATAAGCAGTAGAGTAGTATTCAGCATTTCCAAGATGTTTACGTTGTAGTCGGTACATCTATTCATTATGCACAAAGCATATATAAGCGGGGAGAAAGCTACAATAAAATGCATAACGGGGATTAACGGCCGTTCGAGAGGGGTTCTCGCAACTACATACTGAAATAAGAAACGCAGCCAAGGAGCTAGCAGATAGTTCCTTGTAACGTTGCGAAGCCACTGATCTCAGGGGCTGAGGTCCACTTGGGAAGTTCGCATATATCCGGGAACTTGCTTAAGTAGGAGACGTTCAAACGAAAGTGTACAATATAGTAGAATATACAACATAGGTAACTTCCCAAGGCTTATAATCAAAAGCTTACCTACAAGTAGGTATGCATAACACCGTCAAGCTTATCCAATAACAGGAACAATAATCGGATGCGGCCCATCTTATCTTACTCATATACATGCCAAGCTTAGTGCCTGCAGGATTCGCGGTGGATAACTTCAGTGCGGGCATAGGAGACCGATTGGTCCCGAACGGAGAATTGCATGTTGATCTGGGGTAGAAGATCAATATCATGTTTGCTGTGCGGAGTAAGGGAGCTGCAGGTTTTGACCTGATGTGTCACACTAAAAAATTGGCGAATAGATCGTCGATCGCAAATATCCCAGACCCGTCTCACACAGCTCTACTAAATCCCTCAGCATATGCTCACATCACTCAAGCAGACTCAATACTGTGACCAGGTGTATTCCAATGCGTGAAACTCTAGGACTCGAGAAGATGAAAGGGCTCACGTGAAGGGGTGTCATGGTCGATGAATTACCTATATAGGCGCGGAGCAGCACAACCCCTGACAGAGCTCGCACAAGTATGCAAATGAGTGGTCACAATATCCCGTAATCCGCATAGTATCACATCTCAAGAGAGCCTCGAACTGGTTACCTGTGGGCTGTGGGTTAGTTTGCGTGTCGAATGAGTCAGGGGATTTTTTTAATTACCTAGTGGACAGTTCCTAAATATTATATGAATCTTGTATAAATTAGAGATCAGCTTCAAAAGAAAGTCATAGAGAGAAGAGGAAAGGCAAAAAACCCTTAACGGGCCAAAACCGGGGTAAAACGGTTCTATTTTTCTCCCCACATTCCGTTTGACATCAACTTATTTTTTTCCCCCCTTTTCTCTTCCTCAACTCCAAATATCAAAACACCATTCACCCCATTTCTCTCCCTGTCTTCCTAACCCCCCCCCCGGATTCGGACTCCGTCGGGAAACGAGACGATGAAGCCTCCGCACACGCGCAATTTCAGCCCGCCTACCGCGATTTTACACTAGAATCTCAAGACCGCAACCGTCTCCACTATTGTGCGCTACACTTGGGATTGTTAGAAGTCTGTCGAAACTGGACTGTCCGATAGGACAGTCCACCGGTCACCTTTGTCATGAAGGGTCGTCAACAACCTACGCTAGGTGTTTCGATCACCTTCTTCTCCATCGCAACTATCTTCGTCGCCCTCCGCTTCATTTCGCGAATATTTGTGGTCAGGAAAATTGGGTTACACGACTGGTTGATGTTGGTCGCATGGGTAGGATCCCTCGCTTTGATCCCTGCATGTACCCGGGGATGTAGCGAGAACGGACTCGATCTATTCGCGAACCGGGCACATGATTGAAACCTCGTGTTCGAGCTCGGAGGCTAACCAGTCTACAGCTAATTAATTTTGGCTTCTCCTTCTCGCTATTCTTTGCGGTTCAGAAAGGCCTTGGCCTCCATTCGAGTGACATCAAACCTGAAGATGAGCTCGCTTTTAATAAGGCCAATTATGCGTTCACCGTCCTCTATGTTAGTTATAACGGCTCTTTGGTACCCCGCAGGACAATAAAAAGAATGGCATGCTGACAACCATCTAGAATCCGGCGTTAATGGCCGTCAAGACCTCGATCCTTGTCTTCTACCTGACCTTGACGCGCAATCAGAAGATTTTCCGATTTGCAAACTATGTCACTCTCTTTGTGGTGAACGCAGCGGGCTTTGCCTTGACATTCGTTAATATTTTCCAATGTAGACCTGTCAGCGCAGTATTCCTTTCCGACGTCCCGGCCCATGCGAATTGCACCGACATTGTCACCCTGTACCTCTCCTCGTCTCCGGTGAATATTATTACGGACATTGTCATCCTGTTACTTCCGATGCCGCTTTTGACAAAAATGCGCCTACCTTTCAAGCAAAAGATCATTCTGGTGATCACCTTCTCCTTTGGATTCTTTGTGGCCGTGGTCGATGTGGTTCGAATTGCTTTTCTTCAACAAGCTGCTATTTCTCGTTCGCTGGAAGTCAAGTCGATTCATATTCAAAACATCGGAGGGGTGGATTTCAGTTGTACGACTCGCTCATCTCCCATATTTGACACTAACGGGTCAATTGAGCTAACAGCGGGGGTTTCACAGGGTACGCGTCGCTATCTTTCATGTGGTCTGTTGTCGAAGTCAACCTATCGATCATTTGCGGTTGTGTTCCAAGTCTCAAACCTCTCGTCACGCGTCTTGTTCCGAAATTGATTAGAGACACAAACGACGATACATCAACTTCCTCGCCTCATGGACTCTCCGGAGGCGCAGCAGGGGGAAGTGAAGTTGCGGTCCCGGTTTCGCCAGAATCTCCGTCGCCATTGCCATCTGGCAACGAAGGAAATAAGGGTCTACAGAACCAAGTTGGTAGTGCCCCTGGTGGCCGGCCTAGCTCTCGGGACTCGGAGCCCATCGATATATTGGATTTCCTGGGTCACCCGGAAACAGCACCCCAAGATACAGAGGGAGGAACCCAAACCCATACTAGCGCATCTTATGCACCGGACATCACGTTCTTCGATTTTGTGAACCTGAAGAATCCGGAAAGTATGCTAAAGCTAAACAACAGGGAGTCGATTGCGCCAATTGCATTGACCACGCTATTGTTCTTCCTCTGGGGTTTCGCATACGGCTTGCTTGATATTCTGAACTCCCAATTCCAGACCATCGTCCATTTAGGTCCATGGCACTCCCTGGGTCTTCATGGCGCATACTTTGGCGGATACGTGATTGGCCCTCTGCTAGTTGGTCAGCCCGTCTTGAAGATATGGGGCTTCAAGTCCACCTTCATAACTGGACTTTGCATCTATGCCTGCGGAACCCTCATTTTTTGGCCTTCGGCTGTTCTAACGTCGACGGCTGCCTTCATTTTGTCAAATTTCATTGTCGGTTTTGGTCTAGCAGTTTTGGAGACTGCGGCAAATCCGTTCATTGCGCTATGTGGACCGCTTGAGAATTCCGAGATCAGACTCAATATCTCACAGGGTGTGCAAGCTGTTGGAAGCGTCGTATCGCCACTCCTGGCGAAACGTGTTCTCTTCAAGGATGTGCAGGATGTCGCATCGTTGGTTGACGTACAATGGGCATATCTTGGCATCGCTCTATTCGATGTGCTGTTGGCGGTGGCGTTCTATTATCTACCAATCCCCGAAGCATCAGATGAAGATTTGGAAGAACTCGCGAATCGACGCCGAGAAGACAATATGACCAAAGTAATCGGTGTTCCGGTCGTTTGGCTGACTCTCGGTCTAGGGATCTGGTCTCAATTCTTCTACGTGGCTGGACAAGAAGTCCTCGCGACATCTCTCCAACGTTTCGTTATTGCCGCTCGTCCAGACTCCTCACTCGGACCATTCGATTTCCTAACGATTGGACACAGCATTTTTGCTGTGGGGCGCTTTTTCGCCGCATTTGCACAGTGGTTCCTGAAACCACGCTGGATTCTGATGGTCAGCTACATCGGCATGATCGTTTGCTCCATTCTTTGCATGAAAACAAGCGGCTCAGCAGCAATTGCCATGGCAATGCTGCTCTACCTATTCGAGAGCGGCGCATTCAGCATTATCTTCGCCATCTCCCTGCGCGGCACAGCCCAGCATACTAAAACCGCCGCTGTCCTCCTGACAATGGCAATTAGCGGCGGCACCTTTTTCCCGTTTGCCGAGTACGCGGCATACCTCGCACACGGCGAGTCATATTCCTTCTGCGTTATAATCGCGCTCTACTGCGCCGGTGCCATCTTTCCCATCTACCTCAACCTTGTTCCAGCCGTGAAAAAGCAAGTTGACCCTGTTCCGAATGAGTATCTCCGCCGACATCGTCGCCGAACTCGGACCCAGGTTGACACCATGCATCGCGAAAAAGATAATCCTTCAATGGGTGGTGTGCTTTCACGTCCACGCAGTCTGGTCTCCAATCCGGACCATATGCCGGATCTTCTGCTCCCAGAGGAGGTTCACCAAAACTCGCTGGCTCGTAATCTTTCGGGGGCTCAATCAACCTCCAGCTCTAGTTCACGTGTCAAGCCGAGTTCATCTCGCGATTCAGGCTCAAAGCAAAGGTTCTCCACCAGAATCAATGATTCCTGACCATTGCTTAGCAAGTTTCATTGCTGTCTTTGACTCTTTCCTTATGTCTCACACCTCACAACAACGATCCCCTTAGATACCCTTTCGCTTTTTCCTTTTTGGGATTTGTGACAATATTTTGTCACGTATCTTCTCTATGCATATTTTGGGTGGCAATCCTTCTGTTTCATCTTTCTTTTGCAGCATTTCAGCGATGGTGTTTTGACCAAAAGATTTTCGGGTTCTCTCTTGGCTTAATTTTTGGTTTCCCTAATTAATGATATTGAACCAATCTCATCAAGGTTGGCCTCTGGCCGGAATCAGTTATTCTCATATGTAGCTTTGATCTAGTTGATTCTCGGATATGGAGGTATATGTATGCCTAGCCACTGGTATGTGATTATCGCCAATCACCTGACAGCTCTGCCACCGTTGTCTACTCCGAGCCGTGACCACTTAGGATTTAAATGATTTGATTTGACATGCATTTGAACAATTACTAGTGTCTTGACAGCTGCAGCCAGTCGCACAATAAAAAGTCCCATGCTATTTTGAGATATTTCATTATTGTCAGTCTACCGTTCACTGCCTCTCTGTCTCTTCCCCCCATCTATTATACTTATTTCGGTAGATTGTTCACAATAGCACAGGCCCTTTGGTTTACGCTGAAATATGTCTTTCGATTTGCCCAGGATATTTTTGTTACCACTCTTGAGCTCACTACTTGCCAAATGTGGATACAACGGCCGAGATTATCGCTACCCCAACATTCATTCTCTTGGGCGCTATGTTTCTCAGTGCGTGGAATTCTCATTTCCCTACCGAGACAGAGAAATTACTCTGGCGTATTGCTGTGAATAGCATATCCTATGCATTGATTGGAGGCCCACTTTCGCTATACTTTCAGAAAACACTATTCCAAGCGGAGTTGAAACAAGAAAGGGCACAACCTAGATTGAACCAGAAAGAGACCAGAGAATGGATCGGTCGTCTTACGGCGAAGCTGAGAAATATTCATCCTGATCAGGATCCTGAGTTGGAGATTCCCCTTCGCGCGTTGGTTCCAATTTCCTTTCTATGTGCTATATATTGCCTGGGTCGAGGGTTTATCTTGACCGAAGACTTGATCGGATTGAGGAGTTTGCCGGAGAGTGCCTTTTAGACGGTTTCATGGTCAAAATATGTACCCCACTGGGAGTTATATCTCGTTGGATCATGTTGGTTTATTTAGAGTAGCCCTAGATATAACATAGGAGGTCCCACGATGATAGATGCCATTATTGACTAGTGGTTGTACCACGACAGGATTTCCTCACTTCCGCTTTCTCTTTATTATTTTTACTAGTTTCTTTTGGATATTCACACTCTTTGGTTCGGAGATGGCGAAGATCTCCAAATTAGGAACTGGGAATACGGCAGAAATACAAGAATGTGCCAAATGTGGGCATTTCTTTACTGTTTTTTTATTTCTATTTTTTACAAAAATGAAAATCCACTCGGAAACGCGGGATAACAACACCCTAACTACATAAAACAATACGCAAGACCCAGAGCCTCCGATCGCAAGATCGAAAAATGGAGACCTCGGAGAATTTTCTTCTGATAGACACCAGTCAGAGGCCGCGAAAGAGCAGCGGATTCCGCAGGTGGCAAAGCTAACGGAGAAAGCGTTGAACTAAAATTCAACTAACAAGCCTATAAGAAGGCTAAAAACGCTAAAAACGCTAAGGGCGCGTGGAAGAACCAGCTAGCGTCCCCGGTCTCAGCTACGCCAGATTGTTTACGACTCATCTAATAGGCTAATATGGACAATCTACGGAGTACAACAGACTTCATGTAAACCCTGACTTTTGGCCGAATTGATTTTAGAATTTTAGGCGATCAACTTTGGGGTTTCAGATTCTTTATACATGGATACTAAAGATATAACGATCGTCTAGGTTAAAATTTGTCCAAACCCCAATACCATCAAAGATGTAAAATAAAGTGGACGCGGCATTTCCATCGAAGTTTCACATAGTCCACCTTCTATACTAGAAAAAGGAAATTTCAAACAGCCATCACAGCCAAGGGGCAGCCACCAGCGGTAACCGCTTGGATTGGATCTGGAGAGTCCACAACGGAATCGCAAACCAGTGGGGTTGCCGAACAGTGGTTCATCGACTTTGGAAATTGGTTAGAGTGGAATTGCCGATGATATTTTTTTTTTCTTTCTCTCCACTGGACCAAGATTAAGTGAATCGTAGACCGGAAGGATGTGCAGTTTTCCTGAAATATATGAAACATATCCTCGTATTCTCTATTCCATTAAACCGAACCATTGGGATCGGGTTTAGGGGGTTAAGTTTTTATCTTGTTTTATTTTTGGCTTTTCCATATCGAAGGCGCAATAATTGTCCCCGTTTTCTGTCTCTTTTTGTACCTTACCTCCGAGATCATCCCATAAACTCGGATGGCTTCCGTTGTGCCCATAGACGCTATTAGAGAGAATTGACTCGCGATTTTTACATTGAGTATATAGATGCAATATGAAGATATCCTTATATCTATCCGATCTAATAAAACCCCGGATGAACCTCGTAGTATAAGTCGCCCGTGAACTAAATGCGGTGTTGTACGCAAAAGCCAGCACCCATATCCCAATGTACAGGAACCCCATATAATAATGCCGACCAAAAGAAGAAGCCGCTGGACAAAGAACCAAGGAAATAGACAAGAAACAAGATCGCTAGATGTGAGAAACCCAACCCAAATTGGCGCTCTGATGGACGCCATGTCGCCGACCCGATGTGAAAAGACAGAGAGCCAGAGTCAAAAGAACAATCCTCCAGGAGGGAATTCATTTCAACCGCGCGAGCTCCGCGGCCGTGAGTTCTGCGAGGACGAGTCGTGCATAATATCCGGCGCCCGGGGACCAACCATCCAATCCTCCATAGCGAGCCATTCACTCCAGCTGCGCTCTGCAGCCTCGATCTCGGAATCCACAGGTCCCTGCAAAGGACGCAAGAACGGAATGGTCTCCATTGGGGGCATGTCATAGTCCTTTTTCACCGAGGCCCAGCCGCCGCTCTTTGCGGCAAAGAGGTAGTTGCGGCGTTCTTGCTCGTGCATGGGTCCCACACCGCTACCCCAATCGTCACCGAAGAAGCCATGCAGCACACCTGGGAAGTCCATGCCTGTTGCGACTAGCCGGCGGATATAGGGAATCAATGAGATGGAGGGTGGGCTAGGGGGTTGTGTGCCCGGTGGGATATCGCTGGAGGAAGACGAGGATGGCGAGGTTGAGTTGAAGACTGGGTTCGGTTGGCGCTGGAAGGGGAGTCGGATGTTTAAGAATGTGGATAGGGCCTGGACGGGGACGCTATGTTGGGCGTGATCTAGGAAGTAGCGTTGACAGCTTTGATAGTGCGGGTACCATTCAAAGATATCGAAATTTTCGTTTGGTCTTCCTGGTGAGGCTCCGGCTAGACCGATCATGGTGGCCGGGTCGAATTGTGGATGGGAGTTCATGGATGGGAGCGAAGATGAAGGCGAGTAGGATGTTGAGGTTGAGGTTGCGGTTTGTAGTCTTGGAGGATCTACTTGTCTATTTTTTTTCCCGTGCATTTCTTAGTTCGTGTTCTCTCTCTCTCTTTTCGGCTTCAGGGCTGGGCCTCTTTTTCCCGAGTTCTGGGAACACAGTGGGGTCGAATTGTGGCCCAAAATTAAGTGAACTGGAGGGGCAGTTGGGGGATAAAAGGCAGACTGGGGAGGGATTGTTACTTGGAAAAAATATCCCTACCTCGACGGACTAGAAGAGATACTCGGTGTCGTGAAGGGGAGGTCGGGGAGGATGGGTGTGCAGAGCGGAACAGATCCCTGATGGTCCCGAATCCGCCGCGAGGTTGAGGCTTGTTGATGGACATTCGTTAGGGAACCATCTAGGATGTGCAGGTGAGAGATTGGGGGAGGATATTCAACACGGAATACCTGTGGATATTATGTATGAAGTAAAAAAAGAACCATAGACATACATGTGAGTTCCAATTTCTCAAAGAGAGAGAGAAAGAGAAAAAAGGGAAAGGGAAACCGAAGTAAAATCCGAATAAGAAAAAAAAAAAGATATGTTCTGGAACGTTCATAGAAGAGAAATGGGGTACTAATAAGACAAGTTTAACATGTGTATACGGAGGATTTCTGAATCGGATCCATCGACGACGGGTCTATCCGGTCAGGCCAATCATCCTGAGATCTGCTTGACCACGGGTCGACTGTGGATATCGATCTAGGGCAAGTTTTGGTTTTCTTTTTTTATATTAATACGTTTATATTACAATTTACATTCGGGACTTACTATCGATTATGGCTCCTCACTTTATTATCATTGGCCTTGTACGTCTTATTGGTCTGGATTAATATGACATGCTAATAATACCCTCCTTTTGGCAAAAGGCCGGTTCATGATATAGCTTCAATCATAACTGCACTGGATCAGGAGAAAAAAGGGGGCCCTTTCAAGACTGGGACCTCCTGGATTGTGTTCAACCAATTTAAGCCCGGGCCAGCCTACTCGCTGCAAGGTGCCTAGTCATGATTGGAATATTAGTCGAGAATGTCTACATATTCCATTGTTAGCATTACCTATTGTAATAAATATATTGAATCATGTGCCCTGCAGAGTACGAGAGCATCCCTTGTCATCACTTTAATAATCGAATCGGAAATCAAACTGGGAGTGACGTTTTTATAGTGGGTTTAACATATCTAAGTCAAACACAGCAAGTCGATCTGTATACTCCCGAGGTCCCCCCTACCTGCCAAGTTCCCACAAACCGGGTTCTTCAATATCGCGTGCAGCACATAAGACCCGGAACCCACTTCGGCTGTTATCCCCATCTTTCAATCTTCAAATATTTATTATTTTTTTTTTATATTATATACATCATGAAGCGAGTTCTTACATCATACCTAATATCCTTCAGGGGCCACAGACACAACCTCACAAATGTAGCCCCAAATGGCGTCACTAGAGCACACGAGCT